CCCACAGTCGTGTGTTTTCAAGTGGCTGCTTGAAAATGCATGGCTAGGACGGAGGAGCAGTCGTCCTTTAAACCGGGGCAGCCAGCATCGGGCGGGCGGGGCAAGCGAGTGAGCGGAAACCAGGTGGCCGGGTTGGGGGCGTGGCCAGCCAGATGTTGCTACCGTTTTGGCGACCCACGCCAAATCCTTGCTACCGGTTCGCCCGAGTAGGTGCGAACTGGCTGAATACCACCTCTGCTACCCACCCACCCCCCTTACCAAACAGGGCTCTCTTCGACTACGACAAGACCAAGGACTGCGGCTTCTTGAGCCAGGCTCTGAGTTTCCATTTCGGCGACGTCCTTCACGTCATCGACGCTTCCGACGAGGAATGGTGGCAGGCGCGGCGCGTCCATCCAGATGGCGACAGTGACGAGCTCGGCTTCATTCCCAGCAAGAGGCGGTGAGGGATAAAGGGGGTGTGTGTGTGGCGGTCTTTGGGGAGGGGGCTTTCAAAGGTGGGGGTTCAGGAGACCCGAGAGAGGCAGGATGTGTACACAGGGGTGGGATTCAAAAGCCCCAGCAACCGATTCGCTGCCCCATTGCTGGGTGGGCGTGTCCATGGTGGGCGTGGCCTACTGGAACTTTGGAAGGGGGGTGTTTTTTGCCCTCCCCAGAGTCCGGAGGCTCCCCTCAGGCCACTGGGAGGGCAAAAATGGCCTCCCCCGGGATCCGGAAGCTGTTTCCGGACCTTCCGGAACGGCCATTTTTCGCCCTCCCAGAGTCTCCGCACCGACCCTGCACTTACCTGCATCCAAACCAGGGTGCGCGGAGACTCCTGGGAGAGGTGGGCAGGGCCAGCCGGTGAACCAGAGGTAAATTTAACAACCGGTTCGCTCAAACCGGATGAATCCCACCCTCCCTGGCTGTGCACCCACCCATTAAAATGGGTCCGGCCGTAGCCAAGCTGCCCAGTCTCGGAACATGTTTGTGATCTTGCCTGGTTGCACGGACGCCCCCGAATTCTAAGCCTTTGCCCAGGGGTGTGCAAATCCCCTTCAAGATTTTGGCGGTTCGCGCTGTGTATAAATTGAGGTGCAAAACCGTCTCCACGGATGTCGTAGCATCGGTGCGAAATCTTGTAAGATGCTCGATACTCAACGATGAGATTCGGAGGGGGGGGGTTGTTTCGTGCCATTTGGGGTGGGTTTTTTTTTAATGGTGGGGCAGCATCTTTGAGGTGTTGGAGAAGGTATCTAGGCTTTGGCGGTTTTTGGGGGGGCTTAGAAGGAAGGCCTGGGGTCCCCGGCTGATGCTCCTTCTCCGTCTGCCTTCTGCAGGGTCGAGCGACGGGAGTGGACGAGGTTAAAAGCAAAGGTGAGCCCATCCCTGGCCTTGAAAAGCATCCCGGCACAATTGAGGGGGGCCGTCTGTCAAGGGTTGAAGACTGCGAGAGAATTTGGAATTACTGGGACAAGTCATTGGAATCTGGCCAAACTTGGTTTGATTACAGGTAGTTCTTGGGTTACGACCGGTCATTCAGTGACGGTTTGGACTTATTTTATGAAGTCATCCGAGCGCTCGGCAGCTGGCTCGCAATTTACAACCGGTTGCAGGGCCCGAAAAACGATGGGATTGCCGTTGGCGAGTTTTCCTGCAGGCCTGCCCAGAAAGTCACTGGGGAAGACAGTAGGAAACGTTGCAAGTCGTTCATGTTAGTTTTTCCCCCACCGGAGCCTCTACGCTCACACTGTCTCTACTTCTTGCACACCTTCCCCAGGCCATCCCTTGCACACTCGCGCACCCTCCCTGAGCCTTGCCGCACCTTTCCACTGCCTGTGCACCCTTCCCAAACTTCACCATGTCCTCACACCCTCACACCACCCTCCCTCAGCCCCACTATGCCTCCCACACACCCTTGCATGCCACACGTATCCTTGCCACACCTCCCCTGCCAGTCATGGGCACCGGCCACTTAACTCTACCCGCTGCCTGCTTGCAAACCCCTGGGATTTACAAAACTTCTTGCCAGCTTCTGGTAGTAGAGCCAGCGGGAAGCCAAAGGTAGTTCTCACCTGTGATTTGGCTAACAACCTCAGGCCGTGACTGCACGGATTACGGTTGCTAAGCAAGGTGGGGCTCCTGCTCCCAAATTGTGGCCATAACTCAAGGACTACCTGTGACACCTGTTGGTTGGCTTGCTGGCTGGGGAATTCTGGGAGTGCTTCGAGGTATTGAGGTCGGGGGGAAACCAGCTCCGGGCCAGGCGCACTTCTCTCCTTTTGGTCCCCTGCCATCTAACCTCACATCTAGGCTTCAAATGGGAGTCAGTGTGCATGTGTGTGCGCGCATTTGTGTGTGTGTGTGTGTGTGTGTGTGTGTGTGTGTGTGTGCAAAGCTCTCTTCTGCAGCTTGGGGGGGGGGGAAACCCCCTTTCTCACGAGTCGGCGCAGTGTGGCAGTTTAACGTCCATGAAGCCAGCGCATCCGAGCAGGATACGACGGATCTGTGTGTGTGTCCTGCTGGGCAGAGTGATGGGCTTTGTTGTCCCACATCTAGAGGGCTTCTCGGGGTGGGGTCCTTTGTCCTGGGGAAGAAGCTGCCCACCCACAACACGCCCGTTTTAAAGGAGGAACATCCACCCCTCACCCCCCAGTGTCCAAGGACACTCCGTGACAGAAATGGAGGCCTCTCTCTTTCTCTCTGCTCCTCCTGCCTTTCTCTTCCTTATTTTCTCTTCCTTCCTTCCTCCTCCAGGATCGGGGCCCTGGATCAGGCTCTCAAGGTGGGTGTGGCTCTCGGAGGCCCTTCTTCCTCCTCCTTTGTCCACCTCTGGGAGGCCCCTCCCCTCCCTCTTCCGCCCGTCTCCTTCCCTGCTTGCAGTTGGTTTCTCTCCACTGTCCCTATTCTTCCTCCTCCCCTTCCTCTTCCTCTTCCTCTCCTCCTCTTCCCCTGCCTCCTCCTCTGCCTCCACCTCTCTTCCTCCTCTGCCTCTTCCCCTTCCTCCTCCTCTTCCTCTCCTCCTCCTCTTCCTCCTTCTCTTCCTCTCCTCCTCTCTTCCTCCTCTTCCTCTTCCTCCTCCCTCCTCCTCTTCCCCTCCCTCCTCCTCCTCTTCCTCCTCCTCTTCCTCTTCTCCTCTTCCCCTTCCTCCTCTTCGCCTTCCTCCTCCTCCTCTTCCTCCTCCTCTTGCTCTTCTCCTCTTCCTCTTCCTCCTCCTCTCCCTCCACCTCTCTTCCTCCTCCTCTTCCCCTTCCTCTTCCTCTTCTCTTCTTTCTCTTCCTCCTCCTCTCCCTCCACCTCTCTTCCTCCTCCTCCTCTTCCCCTTTCTCCTTCTCCTCTTCCTCCTCCTCTTCCTCTGCTCCTCTTCCCCTTCCTCCTCCTCTCCTCCTCTTCCTCCTCTTTCTCTTCCTCCTCCTTCCTCCTCTTTCTCTTCCTCCCCCTCCTCCTCTTCCTCTTCCTCGTCCTCTCCTCTTTCTCCTCCTTTCCTCTTCCTCCTCTTCCTCCTCCTCCTCTCCTCCTAGCACAAGTCGTGGTACCCGGGGGAGCATCCTGCCAGGAAGAAAATTTGACCGCGCTCCCTACATTTCCTCCACAGGTCGAGAGGACACCGTGTTGAGCTATGAAACAGTTGTGCAAATGGAAGGTGAGGGGGGGGGAAACCTTTTTCATGGCTTCCTTGCTTGCTCCCCCCATGAGGTTTCGAGGTCCCTGCTTGGTGTCAACTAAAAAGATACTCCCTTGATCTTTTAAGCTGCCAGAAAAAGGGAATTGGGGGGGGGGGGGGAGAAGTACATTCCTCAAATGCTTCAGATAATTGCTAGGCAGCCGAAGATGTTGGCGCGCAAGATTATTACTGGGGAGCATGATTGATGACTCTTGGCTATGGGTGTGTCCCATTGGAGAATATACATCCAGGGAAGTTGGGAGGAAGACCAGGCTCAAGGATGAAATGAATGATGGATTTTAGTATTGGTTGCACCCAGCTAACGCCAACATGGCCATTCCTAATAAATCTTTTTTTTTTTAACTCTGAGAGATGTGGCTAGAGACTAGTGATTTGAATGGGGGTGGATTTGTTGGAGCCCCGACACTTGGAGTTTTGCATCCCTCCCCACATTTCCAATCATGACGCCCCTTCCTCTCTTTTTAAACTTTTCCCCCTTTCGTTCTAGTTCATTATGCCCGTCCGATCATTATTTTGGGGCCCACCAAGGACCGCGTCAACGACGACCTCCTCTCTGAATTTCCAGACAAGTTTGGGTCTTGCGTCCCACGTGAGTCCACCACAGAGGGGGTCCTCTTCCCCCTCCCCACTTGTGGGGTGTGTGTGTGTGGTGGGGTTTCAGTCTCCGGATCTGGGGAAATGGATTTGGGGGGGGGGGGCAAGAGGGTCGCTCCACCCTACGCAGGAAGGGAGTGAGGCCCCCCATCCTCCCTCGGCAGACACCACGCGGCCAAAACGGGAGTACGAAGTGGACGGACGGGATTACCACTTTGTGGCTTCGCGGGAGAAGATGGAGAAGGACATCCAAAGCCACAAATTCATCGAGGCCGGGCAGTACAACAGCCACCTGTACGGGACGAGCGTCCAATCTGTACGGGAGGTGGCTGAGCAGGTATGCGGCACGAACACAGAGACGAGGCGTGAGAGGGACAGGGAGAGAAAGAACGGGGGGCAGAGAGTGTGTGAGAGAGAAAGAGAGACAGGGAGAAAAAGAGAGAGGAGAGAGGAAGGGCAGAGGGGGAGAAAGAGTAAGAGAGGCAGAGATATAGGGAGAAAGAGATGGGGAGAGAGAGAGGAGGAGATAGAGAAAAAGAGAGGTGGAAGAGAGGGAGAGAGAAAGAGAAGAGAAGGAGAGAGAGACGGAGAGAGGAGAGAGAAAAAGAGGGTGAGAAAGAGAGGGAAGGATATAGAGAAAAAGTGGAGAGAGGCAGGGAGAGACAGAGAAAGAGACAGGGAGAGAAGGAGAGAGAGAGAAGGAGATAGGAAGAGAGGTGGAGAAAGGGAGGGAGAAAAAAGAAAGAGGGAGAGAGATGGGGAGAGAAGGAGAGGAGAAAGAAAAAAGAGGTGGAAGAGAGGGACAGAGAGAAGGAGAGGAGAAAGAAAAAAGAGGTGGAAAGAGAGGGACAGAGAGAACGAGAGAGAGAAAGAAAAAGAGGTGGAAGAGGGACAGAGAGGGCGGGAAGGAGAGGGAGAAAGAAGAGAGGGAAGGAGAGAGAGAGGAGATAGAAAGAAAAAGAGGGAGAGAAAGAAAGAGGGCAGGATATAGAGAAAAAAGGTGGAAAGAGAGGCAGGGACAGAGAGGCAGGGACAGAGAGGGGGAGAGAGAAAGAGACAGGGAGAGAAGGAGAGAGAAGGAGATAGGAAGAAGTGAGAAAGGGAGGGAGAGAAAAAGAATGAGAGTGAGAAAGAGACAGGGAGAGAAGGAGAGAGAAGGAGATAGGAAGAGAGGTGGAGAAAGGGAGGGAGAGAAAAAGGTGAAAGAGAGGGACAAAGAGGGAGGGAAGGAGAGGGTAAGAAGAAAGAAGAGAGGGAAGGAGAGAAGGAGATAGAAAGAAAAAGAGGGAGAGAAAGAGAGGGAAGAATATAGAGAAAAAAGGTGGGGAGAGAGGCAGGGACAGAGAGACGGAGAGAGAAAGAATGAGAGAGAAAGATGGAGAGAGAGAAGGAGAGAGGAAGAGAGGCGGAGAGAGGAAGGGAGAGAAAAAAAGAGAGAGAGAGAGAAACGGAGAGAAAGAGAGAGAGAAGGAGATAGGTGAGAAAGGGAGGGAGAGAAAAAGAAAGA